GTCTTCAGAAAGACATCTCTTACAATGCTTACAAAAATGCTTACAATTGGGATTCTGGACTTCAGTGTCCCAGGACCCAAGATTCTTCTCCATAAAGGACTCAGTCACAGAAAATCACTCTCTTAGGGAAAATTAAACACTTCTTTCATGGAATGGACCAGCTCCTTTGAATCAAGCATTGATCTGTTGAATGTAGGTTTTGCTGGACAAAGGTTTTGGGCTTGGCATCCTTTTAATGTATTATCTCCCCATTTGATTGGGGCTTGGCCTACCTCAAAAGGACATACTTAGTCATTTTTATTGGCTCTTTTCTTTTGGAGAAGAAGTCATTCATTAATTGGACAGGTCAAAGAGTCATGGCAAGTTTCCTGCCCATCCAGTAGGTGGCATTCAAGCTTTACACAAAGTTCCTTTCCAAGGGTTTCAAGCCTTTCCTCAAATCCTTTAATTTTTTCTTTAGCATAGTTAGTTAAAATATACACTAACAGACTTGTTTTAAAAAGCCTTTTGGCTCACTTTCTGTTTCTTGTTCTTGAACCATTTAACACCAGGATAAAGTTTTCTTATATTGTTTTAACTTGGTGGTAATCTTCTGGAAGCTTTATTTTTTCTTCTTACTTTTAACTTTAATTTGAGGAGAGTTTTATTCCATTCCACTTCCAAATGCAGGAAGAAATTATTCCCAATTTGATTCTAATTTTAAATAACTTCTAGATTCATTATACAATTAATATCCTAACTCCATAGGGTTAGAATATCTAGCTTGTATTAAGTATTGTCCTAGATACTAGAAAACACTAGCAATGCAACAAGGCTGCTAATTTTTACTAATAATGACTTCTTCACAATTGCCACACTTAAATTTTATACATTTTTAGATTTACTAATAGGTGAACAATTACTATATTCTCTACACCCAAATCTATACATTTTGTTAGTAAAAAGATTTTTTTATATGTATGTGAACTTTAGCAAGGAGATATTGTCTGAATAGACACAGAGAAAACAGATTGTAGCATCCTTTGTGCAGCTTTCTATCTCACTTATTAGGAGATTAATTGAAACATTTATTTTGATACTGAGTATATTGTGAGACCTTTTGTCATGTTGTCTTTTGGACTTTGTTAGTGTTTTAGTTTAATACAGGCTGATTCCAAATGATAGAAATCTGGATAAAAGGGGGGCGAGAAGGGGAAGAACAGGTTGCTGTTTTCAGATCTGGAACATGTGGACACACTGAGGCCTTGGTTTATTGCTTCCCTTACAAGGACTATAAAATTGTAATGTAGACATTCAGATTCAAGCTCAGGCTCCAGCCCGAGCCCAAATGTCTACATGGCAGTTTTATAGCCCTGCAGCCTAAGACCCAAGTCAGCTGACCTGAGCCACCTAAAGCTGTGCTGCAGGTTTTTAATCCCAGCATAGATGTATCCTAAAGCTCTTCCCAAGTGAGGGCAGGTCTTCACTACAGGGGGGGTCGATTTAAGATACGCAAATTCAGCTACGCGAATAGCATAGCTGAATTCGACGTATCAGAGCCGACTTACCCCACTGTGAGGACGGCGGCAAAATCGACCTCCGCGGCTCCCCGTCGACGGCGCTTACTCCTACCTCCACTGGTGGAGTAAGCGCGTCGATTCGGGGATCGATTGTCGCGTCCCGACGAGACGCGATAATTCGATCCCCGAGCGATCGATTTCTACCCGCCGATTCAGGCGAGTAGTGTAGACCTAGCCTGAGAGAGAGCCTGCTTGTAGTGGAGAGGGTTCTGGAGTAAGAGCCAGGAATAGAGGTTAATCAGGCAAATCACTTCACCTCTCTCTGTTCCTCTGCTTCTCCTCACAGCCCTTTGTGTATCTCTACAGACTGTACGCTTTTCCGGGGAGGCACTGTCTCTTACTACTTGTATGTACAGCATCTAGCACAGTGGGGCCCTGATTTGAATTACAGCCTATAAAGAATTTATTTGTAGTATAGTAGAGTTTACTACACACTCAGTCACTGCCTCCACTGTTAGATTGCAGGCACTTACAGGATAAAATATGGTAGCTGTTTAATACCAGATAGCCCAACTGTTTGGAACAGGAAATGAAGAAAAAACATGGCAGCAAGTTGAAGCTACAAGAGCAATTTAAGGGTACATAATTAGCTCTACTGGAATTTGAGTAGGACACTGGGGCTAACCCTTACCACCCATTACATCTTTTTAAAGACCCCCCTAGTGCAGGGGTGGCCAACCTGTGGCTCCGGAGCCGCATGCGGATCTTCAGAAGTTAATATGCAGTTCCTTGCATAGGTGCTGACTCCGGGGCTGGAGCTACAGGTGCCAACTTTCCTCTGCTCAACCCCAGGCCCTGCCTCCACTCCACCCCTTACCCCAGGGCTCCTGCCCCCTCCCCTGAGCCTGCTGCACCCTGGCTCCTCCCCCCTCCATCCCAGAGCCTCCTGTACACTGCAAAACAGCTGATCGCGGCAGGCAGGAGGCACGGGGAGGGAGGGGGAAGTGCTGATCTGCAGGGCTGCTAGCAGGCAGGAGGTGCTGGGGGGGGCGGTTAAGGGGACTGATGATGTATTACTGTGGCTCTTTGGTAAATTCTGGCTCCTTCTCAGGTTTAGGTTGGCCACCCCTGCCCAAGTGGCCAGTCATGTTCTGTTTGTTTGTGTCTTAAGCGTGTCACCCAAGAGGAATTGATTCAAACACTGACTCGGATAGAAAAGTGCTATCTGTTGTGCCGTCCGTCTTCTGGAGCATCCTGGGGTTTCCTTTGGAGTGTCTATTGCAGGAGCGTGTAGGTGAGGTTCAGGTCAAACTAGATGATCGTGCTGGTCCCTTCTGACCTTAAATTCTCTGAGTCTCATCAGAGTACTGACTTAGCCCAACCCTGGGTAAGCACAGCTTAGCTGCTGCTTACTCTAGTTCCACTTGTCAGTGAATGGGTGTGACAAAGCTGTACATATTAACGCAAACACTACTCCTGAGCTCTTCCCAGAGTAGCCCCCACTGCCCCAGTTTGCTTAGGGCATGGCTGATTATTTATAAATACATTTATTTCAAGTGTGTCCTGACTATGACGATTCTCACTCTCATGTTGTAGCAGGTTCAGGGTGGGTAAGAAGGCTCTTGATTGGAAACCCACTGCTCCTTGGCAGCTCCAGGGTAGCTCATCAGCTGTCCTGTATTCCGGTAGCTATTTGTGTTCAGCACTGTGCTCTGCGTACATGAACTTTCATTCTGAACACTTCTACCTCTTCACTTTTGGAGCTGAATTTTCTCTTGCTTGTTCCTAGTGCAGAGATGAATCTTTGGGGAGAATGTGGGTAAAAATTGTGTGGTGTTGATTTTCAGCAGGTGGAATATTTGAGCAGTTTTCAGATGCTTTATGACGGAATTGTTCCAAAACCAACTTCTTAGGGGTGGGAGTGTTGTCTGGGGCTAAAGCATTCTGCTATTCCATTTCTAGCTCTGCCATGACTTTGTGTGTGACCTTGGGCCCTAATCCAGCAATGATAGCTCTGTGTGTGGCCTCCTGTGCTCAAGACGAACCCTACTGTAGTCTGGGCATCAGTTGGGTTCAGGCACCTGTGTGATGCTTATTGTAGGATCACCATTGCCCTGCACTAAGAACCAGTGCTTTTAGCCAACAGGCTGTAACATGCTATCCGTGATTTGGTAGTGTTTTACACCTACTGTGTAAGGGTGTAAAATGATGACCGAAGGTACAGGGGCTGAGTCAATGGGGCCATCCCTACCTTAGTCTCCAGGCTGTAAAAGTGGAGGTAATAATGCACAACATGCCTCCCTTGAGAGTATCTGAAACCGCCTTCCAGGAATCTGAAACTGTTGGACCCCAAATCTAAGAATGATCTTAAGCCCCCGTGAACAGGCAGTGACTTCCACTCTGTTAAAGTTTTAACCCTGTAGACAGGTGCGGAGCTCTGTGGGTCCGTGTGCATGGCCACCCAACCTCGGTATGCCTGCAGGGAGCCTGTGTCTCTGGTGGGAGGTCTGCACGCTGACCTGAAAGGCCAGCCCCAGGGGTGCCTGCGGCTGTGGGGAGGAGGATCACTTCTGAGCAGCATGGTGGGCCTTGGGTGGAAGGGCCCCTTTCTGGGCTGTGCAGTAGGGTGGTGGGTGGAGGAGGATGCTCCATTGTGTATCAGAGAGGCAGTGAAAAAAGGTGGTGAGTATGGGACTCCAGGTAGGGCTGGAATGGGTGAGGTACTGGCTGGCGAGTGCTGGGTGGGTGGCAGTGGAGGCCCTCTGTCCAGGGTAGGCACTGGGACTGCTCCACTGTGTATAGGGCTCCCCAGTGCGCTATGGGAGGATGGGTTCCCTGGGTGTGTAACCGTGGGCGGTTGCTTGTGAGGGGCAGGCCGCCTGGTGTGTGCTGGGGACGCATGTCCCCTTGGGGGAGCCAGGCAGGGTGCGGGGCACTGGGGATGCGGCTCCCCTCTCGGGGAAGCCAGGCAGGGTGCTGGGTACACATGTCCCCTCTCGGGGGAGCTGGGCAGGGTGCGGGGGAGCCGGGTCCCCTCTTGGGGGAGCCGGGTCCCCTCTTGGGGGAGCCGTGTGGGGGACGTGGGTCCCCTCTCGGGGGAGCCAGGTGGGGCGCTGGGGATCTGTGTTTCCTCTCAGGGGTGCGGGGCGCTGGGGACGCGGGTCCCCTCGGGGGA